TCTCAATACCGAATACTTTTCAACCACAATGAGAGCCTCCCAGTGGTTGAGGAAGAGGCACTGGCGCGAGAGTTTGGATACAGGGGCACGTACAAACCTGTAGGACAAGCTTTCGAGGCGTTTTCCGACGCTGAAGATCCGCCCGCAGACGAGGATGAATGGGGCAATCAGGTTGACGAAGAGCACAGATAAGTTGGGCAAATCGTCACAGGGCGGCTGGAGCATAACCGTCCGACAACCGGTGACCATACTTAATGGGGGTCACCATGATGATAATTTGTGTTTCGGTTATGTAGGGCGTGGGTGAGGGGAACCATTAGAGGTAGGTCTAATGTTTGGTGAGGTAGAGTCCATCGACCGGCTCGGTGCTCGTGCGAGGCCAGGGCCGTCTGGCGCGGTCCTGCGAATTCCTCTGCGCCCCCAGACCTTAGGTCAACCAGGTGAACCGGCACGGACCCTGTTGTGGCTGTAGCACAGGCCCTCATGTAGCAGTAGTTCTACGGGCCTTTATAAACAAGCGGAAAAAAAAAAAAAAGAATCTGCCGCGGCGAAACATGCACAGTCGAGGGCGAGGTCAGTGAGGGCTTTACCAGCCTTGTAGCGCGGGGACAAGAACTTGCATTCTCTTCGAGCTCTCGTTTCGCGCTAGATATCGCTCTGAGAAACAATTGCACTTCAAAGCTTCAACATCTCAACTGTCACTTGCCCGATCTACGCAGAACTAGTTTGGACGCGTCGCGTCGCCGTCGCCGAACTCTAATCTGATTCGCGTTGCATCATGGACAGGCGCTGGACGTCTCAGGGACGTTGAACGTTGCACTCAACCAGACTCATCCCAACGTCGGACTTACCCCTTGTTGACCATTGCATTTCGTGGCAAATGCATCGCCATCGGCCCTCTCACGCCTCGCTGCAGTTCGCATCCTCAACCCTTTAACCGTGTGCGCCGACGTCAATCGTGATGGCACTACGCGGGCGCGAGACTGCGCCAGTCGCGATGGTAGCTGTTCCCACGACGCTTTTTAAATTTGTGCACCTGAGGATCTCAACTACGACTTCTCAACAATGTGGCCCTTCTCAACTTCGTATCCTACGAAAACGCCTCAGCAACTGAACGCAGAATATGACTATATCATTGTCGGAGGTATGCACACGTCACGAAGCCACGCCTTCTGCCCGCACTCACAGTTCGCACGACCCAGGTGGGACGGGAGGATGCGTCCTGGCTCGCCGGCTCGCCGAAGACAGCAGCTGTAGCGTGCTCGTCATCGAGCGCGGCGACGCACGCGACATCTGGCTCGACCGCTTCCCACTACCGTCGACACACCACTGGTCCGATCGTAAACACAGCATGGTTCTCGAGGCGGACATGCTGGGTCAGAAGACAAGCATCATCACCGGCAAGGGCCTCGGCGGACCTCGAGGATCAATGCGATGCAATACAGTCGCGGCGCGCCTGGCGAGTATAACGCGTGGGCACAAGCTGGGCGCAAGGGATGGAGTTACCAGGAGCTGTTGCCGTACTTCGAGAGGGCAGAGTGCTTGTACAATCCGGTGACGAAGGGGCATTATGGGACTGAAGGTATGTTACTTGCCATGTCTCCAAAGATGTAAAGTGTTCACAACGCAGCAGGTCTATGGAAGATCCAGTCTCCGCCGTACACCTTCAAGTTCGGTCTCAACGAACAGTGCGTAATTTTGTGCATATATCTATAATTGCCGTAAATAACTCCGTATACGCGCTCCCAGCATCATCCAGGGCTCGCAGAAAGCAGGCTTCGCCTATGGCAAGGATGTCAGCGACCCGAAGCTGCCGACCTCGGGGTGCTTTCTGATTCATCACACTATCGACTTGTCGGGCAACCGGCACAGCACGTTCCGGGCATTCCTCCCGATGGAGTTTGTGCTTGCGCATGATCAGAATCTGCACCTGTGCGTGAACACTGTCGCGCGCAAGATTGAGACGGAACAACTGGCAGACGGGAACCTGAGGGCTACGGGCGTGGTTGTACAGAGTATGACGCCCGGCACGGCGAGTGTGTTTGTCAAGACTCGGAGAGAGGTCATCCTGTGCTCGGGTGCGCTGCGGACGCCCCAGGTGTTGATGCTCAGGTACGACAAGATCCTGCCAAGCCCTTCATAATATACTGAACTCTTCACGCATCTAGCGGCATTGGCCCCGAGAAGCACTTGCGTGACATGGGCATTCCGGTCGTGCACAACCTTGAGGGTGTTGGCTCCAATCTGGTACGCCTTTTCGCTCTCCCTTCGGCATCGCTACTGACTTTCAACTACAGCAAGACCACATGGGCGCGGGCATTGATCTACAGTGTTCGCTCGAACATTCCCTCTATGTGCTCGTCCGGCCACCATGGTACCTCCTCTACCAGCTCCTGCGGTACTTCATCTTCGGTGACGGCTGGTTCCTCACATCACTTGTCGAAGTATGCATCCTCACCTGCGAGCGCTGGCTTGATGCGGACTCGGGGCAGAAGCCGCTCGGCGAGAAAGACAAGGATGCATCACTGCCGGAGAACATCCCGGATATCGAGATCATGACTGTATGTTCTTCTTTGATCCACACAAGTCGAAGCAAGCTGATGAAGACCTCAGAGCTCGGTCTGCGACTGGCGATTCCCAGAGTTCGACCGCACGCGGGGCGGGTTCACAATGCTCGCTGCGCCGCTGCGGCCGTTCTCGCGAGGCACCCTCCGCCTGCGCTCCTCGGATCCGCTCGAACAGCCCGTCGTCAATCTGAACTACCTCGCTGACGTGCGCGACCGCACGAATCTGCGGGCGGGAATCCGGCTGTGCATGCGCATTGTGCGCGAGATGGAGAACGGTGGGTACCCTGTGGGATACTTCAAGGCGCCACGGAGTCTCGACGACGACGCGCTTGACGCGTTCGTCGATGGCCACAGCCAGAGCTTCTTGCACTACAGTAGCACATGTCGCATGGCGCCACGCGACGATCCCGAGCCAGGCGTCGTGGATGACGAACTCCGGGTGCACGGGTTCACGAACTTGAGAATCGCAGACGCGAGCGTGTTCCCGCAGATACCTGCGGCGCACTTGCAGGCGCCAGTTGTTGCTGTGACGGAGAAATGTGCGGACATGACCAAAGCAACGTGGAAGGCATAGGAACGAGCTGGTTTGCCTGCGGAGTCCCGGTGATCCCTAGATTATTTACCGCGTATGTGCAGTCTTAGATCCTGCTTTCACTAGATTAATATTGTGGTGCTCCTTGTGCTGTCAAAACTGCACATATCCTATGATGAAGCACGCTGCACGAGTATACCAAAGTTGGATCGCATATCTACTTCTCATTCTCCCTCGCAGCCTTCTTCACCATCTCAGCGCACTTCTCTGCAACAACAATGACAGGTGCTTGGAGGTGCGCCGCCGGAATCTGTGGAAAGACACTCGCATCGCAGACCCTCAGGTTCGCTACCCCATGCACCCGCAGTTCGTCATCCACGACCCCCGGCTCGGAATCGTCGCGCGGCGCCATGCGACACGTGCTGCTGTAGTGCAGGAAGCTCATACCAGCCGCATCGATATATTCGTCTATGTCCCCCTCCCCCGCACTGCGCGGTGCACGCAGCGGTTTCGTGGCGTACCCGCCTGCGCGCATTGTGCCTGCGATTCGCATGCAGAGCCGCACTGCCGTGCGCAATGTCTTACGATCGGCGGGCGCGCTCAGGAAGTCAAGGTCTATAAGAGGCGGGTCGAGCGAATCTGAGGAGCGCAGCCGCACGGTCCCTCGGGAGTGTGGGCGGAGGGCAGTGGCGAGCATGGTGTAGCCTCCCTTGGACTTGTCGTAGTCGGGGTAGGTGAAGTCGCAGACTGCGCCCTGGGTAGTGTTCGATGAGTGAAATTACACCGGAGACGCAAGCTCTCGAGACACGCACCGTCATGATCTCAATATCAGGCACATTATCTGGCCGCGTTGCGTCTCGCTGCTGCTCGTCAAGTACCTTCTGTCTCATGTCCTCGTCGAGGTAGTCGGCACGGGTGTACACGCTCGACTCCATATAGTGGTCGCGCAGCCAACCGTCACCGAGGATGAGGAAACGGAGGAGCTGCCATAGGAGCCACCATGGCCTCAAGAAGGGCGCGATCCAAGTGTCCCAGATCGGCGCATAGTAATAGAGCGGCGTACCCATGTGGTCTTGCTGCACAATCCTTAGCACAAGCGCAGAGAAGCACGATAGAGACTCACAAGGTTGGAGCCGACACCATCGAGCTCGTGTACCACCGGGACGCCGACTTGTTGCAAATGGTTTGCTGGGCCAATGCCACTGTTCGAGTAAGAGCACGTTAGTACACCTCAGTCAGACCTCGGTGCAGGTGAGACGGTGACCTGAGCATCAGCAGCTGCGGCGTTGTGATTGCACCACAGCACAGCACGACCTCCTTTCTGGCGGCCACGAATCGCGTGGACGACCCAGGCTTTGCCTCCTGCAGGACGACGCCAGTCGCTCTAAGTGTACCGGTGGCTGACTGCTCGACCTCGACCTTGCATGCAATCGTCTTCGTACAGATGTGCAGATTATCACGATGGGCGAGGACAAAGTGTTTGGGGAGATAGGCTCGGAAGGTGCTACTGCGGTAGCCGTCCTGTGCGGTTGTCAGGTGCAAGAGGAAACATCCTGATGTTGGCAGACGTGCGTCGTTCACGTCGTTGCAGATGGCGAAGCCAAGTTTCTCGGCTGCGTGAGCAATCCTGCAGGGAAATATCGGCCTGGATGAACCAAAGCTGTTGCTGCAGTGGTGAACTTACTCTCGAGATGCCTCAAATTTGAAATTTGGAGGCGGAGCCTGGACCTGCAATGGCCCTGACTACAAGTCAGGAGCGGAAAAGCGAAGCAGCTAGCCAGCCTACCACTGTTTCCATAGTGGGTGTGTGTGACGGGACTCCAATGTCCTTCAGCTCTCTCGAAATATGGCTTGAGTTCCTCATAGCTCCACCCTTGGCGTCCACTCTCTGCCCAGGCGTTGTAATCTCCAGGCACACCTCGAGTATAATGCATGCCATTGATCCTAGACGTCCCACCGAGTCCCCTGCCCGTGACGATATCAGTTGTCGCGTCGCCGCGTAACCGGCTCTGCAGCACGACGCTGTGCTTCTTGTCAGAGAACTGGTGCGTTGAGAACAGCGGCGACTTGTCGAGCCAATTATCCCTGGTATCGCCACGCTCGATGAGCAGGACACTTGAGTTGCGCTCTTCGGCAAGACGCCGCGCCAGGACACAGCCCGCAGTGCCACCTGCAGCGGGATCAGCGTTTTGCTGAAGCAAGCTGTAGTGGCGTGGCGACTTACCACCGACTACAATGTAGTCGTATTCCTGCTGTACTCTGGAGGGCAGAAGTTCAGGATACCTGGTTACAAATGGCCACATGATTGTCGTGCCTAAGGAGCAACTCTGGTTGCGAGACCGTGACGGCGCATGGGAGCCCGCCCAAAACTAAGTTTCGCACGCAACCTCCCGCGACAGAAGCCAAGCGGCAATGAGACAATGATCTCTGTGTGAACAAGGCGCGATCGTTGGCGCGTCTAACCTTCACAGCTTGGACGAAGGACGCCCAGTCAACGCCGCGAACTCTGACGCGCCCATTTCCTGCTTTAGAAACGTCGGCAGCGTTGCAGTCCATCTAGCACAGTACTTCACTGCGATACATTTTCGGAACATTTAGCTTAGTGCAGATAGTCGAAGCGCCTCAGTACAATGCAAATCGGCATGCTTGTGAATATTATAGACCTGTATAACGCCGCCCGCATCATCCTTTGACTCTACTACCATGACGGTCGTGATCAGATGGCGACTTCCAGGCATTAGCACGACAGACAACTTGAAGATGAGGCTTTACGTTCTATCAAACATGAGGAGTAAAGTTTAATCGCATCCAAATATTCAGATAGGAATTCCGCCACTATGTGCGCAGGAGTCTTCGCAATAGGCTATCAATTACAAGCAGCAGCTAACAGAGTTTACTAGCAGGTTCGTAGATACTAAGTGTTTTACACGAATCAAGGGATTAAAATTGTCTCTACGATCTGTGATCATCCTACTTTAAATGCGGTCCACGCCTAGCTGTTCAGTGACGGACAACCATGGTCCTGCGGTCAGCCTTGAGGGGAGTGGGCGGGGTGTTGTGCTCGGCTTCCTCAATCAGATTGAGGACGTCGCCAGCGCAGCCGAAGGAGAGTGTGAAGCCAGAGCCGCCTTGGCCATACGAGTGCACGATCTTGCTCAGCGAGCCGTCGGCCTTCTTGCGCAGCTCACGCTCGACCCGGACGTTCTCACCACGCACGGGGCGCAGACCCTGCACGATCGGCGAGTGCGGGTCCAGCTCGGCCTTCTCGAGGCCCGGCACGAACTTGTTGCACCTGTCGCGCATGCGCTTCATCTCGGGGCTTTCGAGGGTCAGATCGAGGTTGCCCTCGTTTGCCTGGGCGATACCTGTGGACATCGTCAGATATGAATATTATTTGCCGCGACAAAACGCCTACCGCCGAGGATGAGGGTCTTGTCGTTGCGAGGAACGATGAAGACGATGCCGCCGTCATCGTCACGCTTGGCGTAGTCGTGCGCAACAACGAGCGCCTCGTTTACTTTCGGGAACTTGGTGCCGTCGTTAACGAGGCGGATGAGTGCACCACGGAGGGGGTAGACAGTCCTGTCACCGGCAGCCTCGAAGGCACCGAGGCCTGTGGCATCGACGATGTACTGGGCACCGAAGACCTGGAGAAGTGCGTCTTCCTGCTCGAGGAGGTCGCCCGAGATGTGGTGCGTGACGAACTTGCCGCCCTTGGCGTCAACAACGGAGCGGAGCCAAAGCATGTAGGCGTCAGTGTCGACGACGGGCGTGGTGTGCTTATAGGCATCGACGACACCGGCCTCCTGGCTGACAGCGTGCTTGGTGACCAGGAGCGAGTCGCGCTCGAAGCCGGGGATCTGCACAATAAATTCAATATGTGTAGCGTCCAATGATGAATTTCTTGATAATACCTTGGCATTTTCAATCTCGACCATCTTCTCGTACTCTTCCTGGTTTTCCTCGATGGGCTTGTCGAAGAAGAAGTTGGCGGTGCGCATGCGAATACCGTGACCGGTTTCGCCATCGGCAGGGAGGACTTCCTGTAGCTTCTGGAAGACACGGTAGGCGGTCATGCACCATACTTTGGAAAGCTTGAGGGAGATGAGGTCGGTGTGCCTGCCGCAGACAGCAGGGGGCCACTCCCAGCTGTTACAAACTATCAGTGCTACGCGATTTCATTGCTGAAACGAATCCACTCACAGAGCACCGGCGATCTGAGAGGTGATGCGGTCCTCGAGGGACGCCCACTTATCAGAGATGACCGTAACCGAGTAGCCCTGGTCGAGGAGAGCCCAAGCATTCTGTGATATCGTTAGCAACCAGCCCAGGCGGCGCGAATCGCAGATGTACTCACGGTAAGACCGGTGACACCACCGCCAATGATGAGAACGTGCTTGTTGGCGTGCTCGGTGGCATGCGGGTTGGCACCTTGCTTGAGAACGAGCTCGTTGTTCTCCTTGGTGAGGTAGAGGTTCTTGAGTTCGGCGACGTGAGACATATTGTAAGAGTGGATTAAAGGGATTTAGGTCTAGCTGCTGAACAAGTTTTGGAGAGAAGAGGAAGAGAAGATTAGAGGCGTCGGTGCCGCTGCTCCTCGTCCAGAATTCAGCAGGTGCTTTTATACGAGGCGAGGGGACCAAGATGCATGGCACACAAAGCGAGAGTTTTCGATACTCCTGCTAGGCAAAACATGCACGTTCATCACAGCCGAGGCTCCGCTGGGGGTAGCCGCTACGTTGAACCGGTACCGCCAGGTACCATAAACTGGAGGTGCTGAAGGGCAGAGTGAGCGAGGACGCTTCGTACAGTGTCAGGCGCAGCGTACCCGAGCGTCAATTGCGCGGTGCATAGTGACCAACCTAGGTCCCTGCAATCGCCATCGCGTCGTTCTATTGCGGCAAGCGCGCGTATTAAACAGACACGCATACCAAGAATCCTCGGCAACATGGCGTTTTGGCTCTGGACATCTTGTCCGCCGGTCTTCCGAGCCCGAACAGTTTAGGCTGTTGAATAGAGAAGCACATCACAAGCGACAAAAAAACGCAAGGAATTCGAAGCGCAGCAGACTCACTCCTCCCACCGCTCCGACGGACATTCGGCGGAGTCCCGGTTGACAAAACACACATCCGACGAATTCGAATTGAGCGGACAGCAAAGCATTGCAAGAACCCGTGACTCTGGGAGCCAGAGTCGTCGATCACATACAAGTCAACATCGGCCCAGAGGGACTATGGTGTTTACTCACAACGGCACCACAGCGACATAGCCACTACGACAAGAAGCTTCGGGCAAACATAGCACTCCCCGAAAGGAGGCACGATAATCTTTCCTGCCTGGAAAAGTGTGCCTCAAGACGTTGTGAACAAAGCACAGCACGACCACTGACGCCTGCATCAGCCCGGCGCCCTCGAAAGCCGCTCAGATGTTACTCCTCATGCAGTGCTCCCAAGTGCTCCGTGCTCAGGGTCCCGGCCGATGTTTATAAGCCTGGCCGAGCCTCCCTTGTACGAGACCATGGCGGCGGACGCGGGCGCAGGGCACCCATGCGCATGCCATAGGACCCGCGCGGGCGATTCTCCGCTGGAAGGGACATAGAGCCGGAAATGAAGCACTGCAGATGAACAATGAGCCATAACGTACAAGCACATACCATGCATATCGACTTGCTGAATGACCGCACGCTGGTCATCACGACTTCTTGGTGCCAAGCATGCGTCTACGTAGTCGGCCCAAGGCACTAAGATCGGACGAGGCGGGGCCAGAAAGGTACATATTAAATAACATCAAGAAAGCTAAAAGAAAATAACGAGAGTGCAAATGACGCCACCAGATCTCAGACCTTGTGCAAGCCGTCCGTATATCACAGCGCCTCCGGGGACTTCAAAGTGTAGCAAAGTCTCGCGAGTTGGCCCGGTACCGCTGTTGTTCGCGCTGCATGTCGTGATCCTCATCGTCGATGGTCCGCGTGTGGTTGCGCACGGGTATAGGCTGCGTCGAGATCGGTTGCGCGAAGTGCTCCCGCAGGCGGTTCTCGGCTTGTTTCTGGGCCTGTGAAGTATCAGGTACATGAGTCAGTATACTGCAGCATCGGACGGAGCTACCGTCACGCACCTCCCTAGCCATCGTACGCGCGACTTGCAGGGCAGGGCCCATAAGTCCGAGGTGGAGCATGACATACGCAGTGGCGGCAACCACCAACAGGAATGCAAAGTAGAGTGGGTTGAAGAGCACGACCATCGCCTCATTCCAACCAAGGACGACAAGCATGCCGTACATCCAGTAGGGGATCTGCGCGACGCTCGATACGGTACTCCGCTTGGCCTCGACGTAGAACGCATCGGCGTCTTTGCGGAACCGGGATGTGAGGTCAAGCGCCTTGGTCTCAGTGAAAATGGTGAGCGTCGTCGGGAAATCGAAGTCCTCTTCAGACGATGCCAAGGAGTCGGACGGCTCGGAGGGTAGGGTATACGCGAGCGACTTCTCGACGGGGGCAATCTTGGAGTAGAGCGGGATGAGCTCGAGGGTCTCGTCCCTCGCCTTCTGGAACGCGCCGTCGATGTCGTCGCTCGGCGTCCACACTCGCGGGACGCCCTTCTCGTCGTACCGGAAGCGCTCCTCGAAGAACGTGCGCAGCTTGGCGAGGAAACTCTGGTCCGCAGTCTGCTCATCGATCTTTGCGCGGAGGGCCATCCATGCGCGCTTGCGGAGGGTGGCGAGCGCGGTGGTGTTCTCGGCGTCTGTGCAATTGAAGCCTGTGACGTGTCGTCAGTGAGCGTTAACACCCCATTGTTACAAATGCGACATACTCTTAGCCTTCACGAGATATGCGGACTCTGCCTTGCCAAGGGTATCTCGGAATGTAACCAGAACTTTGTCCCACATGTTGGGCGTCGGCTGAGTGAGATGCAAGTCAACTGGCTCTGAAATCTGCTTCTTGAAGTTCCTCTGCAAAGCAGCTCTGAGTGATCACTACGTCTTGGTTGAAAAGACAGCAACACACCTCGATGACATTGACCATCTTCTTCGTCTCGTCCTTCCTGCACTGATCCGCAATGCTGCTCATCTCTTCGCGGAGCAGTGTGAACTCGTCGTCGTAAGTCCAATGCACCACGTCCTCGCCCTCGACAGGCACCGCCTCGCGCGCGCCCTCGTCGAACGTCTTCTCGCAGCGCTCACGCGCAGCACCGACGATCTCCGCAAAGTTGTAGTTCTCCCCACGCATGCCTTCGTGCATCTCCTGCTTGAACTGCACGAGACACGCCTTGTGCATGTTCTTGAGCTGGCCTAGGAACAGCGGTGACAGCGTCGAGTCGAGCACCCCCACGAGATCGGCACGCTTGCGCTTGTAGACCCCAGGGTGATATCGTGAGGCATCTCGGTCGTAGCGTTCTATGGTCATTCATCAAGAACTGGGCAGTAGCATATGAGAAGGTTACATACCCAGTGCAGTTGAGCGCCAGCTACGCATCATAGCACCAAGACCTTCTACCACCTTTCCAGACTCCACGGGTCTCCGTTGTGGCTTCGCCTGCTCGTTGAATTCGGAAAGCGCAACAGCTGAGATCTCGTCGCAACGGAACTGAGCCAAAAGCTCTTGCTGGGTGGGGAGGTCGAGGTCCTTGTTTGTCTGGACTTGTTCCTGTATCACAGCTTTATGAGCATCACACTTTGGAGACCATGATATATGCAACGTACCCAGATGCCTTCCATATAGAAAGCGACACCGTCCGCAGGAATACGCTTGTGGTAAGCTGGTTTGAAAACGTAGTCCTCCCTGCTCTTGTCTACGAAGCGTTTCCTGAGCTCCTGGACATCGGACTCGAACTTCTCGGCGGCCAGAACCTTGTGCGGAAGAGCAGAGAAGGACATGTCGAAGTAGTCTGAAAGCTGACGGTCCTGGAGCTCTGGTGGTTTTGACAAGGAATCCCAAATCTTCTGCATGTCGGCGGTCAGTGTTGTTTGCAGGTTGTCGAGCGGCGTTGTACCAATGTGGTCGCGAATGACGAAGAGAAGCAATGTGCGCTGATTGCGCCTGTAGTGAAGAGTAAGACCCATCACCAACTTGGACAGCAGGAGACGCACCCATCAGCGGTCTTTTTCCCAAACAACGCAAGATTGACTTCGAACACGGTCTTGAGCAATCCCATGTTTGCACCCTGGTATAGACCAACTTGGTGCTCCCATAGGTTGATAATGAGGACTTCTGAAGAAGCGAGCGAGAACAGTGCAGATTTCCGTTCGAAGTCCTGTCGGACGAGGAGAAGAGATGATCAATGGTCAGAGCTAAGCTGGGAAGGGCTTTCAAACCGCGCACTTGGTCTTCTCCGCGTTCCCGTCCGTCTGTGCCCTCAACATCCATCACCATAACATTCATGCCCTTGCCTCGGCACATCCATATGCCTGGTTCACAGTCAGGTCGCATGTCGCTTCACGAGGAACGCTAGATCTGACCTTTGGTAGTCTGTTGCCGCCGCGTCTCGTCCATGACGTCGAAGTCGGTCCCAAATAGCCGGTTGAGTAGAGTACCTGCGCAGGATGTTAGAGCGGTCAGGCACGTTTTGGGACGCGTACGCACTTTTCCCCGTTGACTGGGAACCGAAGACGGCGACAATGTCGTAGTCAAAACCCGCATTATGAAGGCTCCAGTGCTCAATCTGTTTGGCGAGGTCCGGACTAAACGGACACGTTGAGCATGCATGAAGCGCAGTAGTAGGGAAATGCCGGCACTGACGTGAATTGCTTCTCGTCGTTGATTATCTGAACTCGCTTGAAGCTTGCAGCAGAGTCAGTTCGAATGTGTGTCGCGTCTCCGTTCAAGACGGTGTGTCCATTTGGTTCTGCCAACGTGACGTGCATGAGCAGCTGTGTCTCGTCGTATGTTCCTTGTTTTGCACAGGAAGAAGAACATACGTTGTTCGGTCATTGCAAGTAGTCGGGAGGTATTCTGTTCAAACGAGTGTCTTGTGGTCGTAAGCAAGAAATGTCGAAAGAGTCGGTGCGGCGTTGCACAGGGCTTGAACTGGAGTGCTCGTCCAGCACGTCGGGCGTCACGGAGCTGAGCCATCAGTTCATCAACTCCTCACCCTAATCCGGCAGGAACAGACGCCGTATGCCTGCAGCGTCGAGGAGCTAGCTATCCGGTGTGGACATTTCTGCGACGCAGCACAGGCTTAGTGTCCGGCTCGTCTCGACCCTCTCAAAGCTAAGGCTTTAGTGCCTCTAGGCGGGAAGATGGCCTTCAACGAAATATTCCATGGCAATACGAATAATTATCCTATCGGAGACCCGCACCCGATTCTCTTCCGAATTCCGAAAAGTACAGCTGTGGTTCCCTCGTGTACGGATTACCACTCTGCGCGTCCTCGTTTATAATCCTTTTTTAAAGGGGCTCTGGTTGTTGGCCCTTCCTTAACCTTGTTTCCCAACACTCGCCTTATACGCCATGGACTCGCAGTTCGCATCGTCGCGCCTCATCTGGAGACACAAAGATCCCAAGAGCTGTCGTGTGGAAGCCTTCAGGCAATGGATCAACAGAAAGCATAGGTTGCACCTCAGTAAGCGGGTCTTTCGTACGCGTTCGGAGATTACCCCCCAACGCGTCCTGCACACCTAGAGGACTACCATGAGCTGCACAAGTACTCTATCACAGACTACATGTTCTGGCAGGACTTGTGGCAGTATCTGAACATTATCTACTCGGTACCCCCTGAACAGGTCCGTATCGGACCCCAGTCAGCGTTCCTCATGATTGACGTTATAATCAATATCCTTGCAGATCGTAACCGAGGGACGTATGCCTGAGGTGCGGACCTGGTTTCCTGGTGCACGTCTCAACTATGCCGAAAACATCCTCCGTTTCAACGGCGACAGCATTGCCGTCACTTCTGCCCGAGAAACTGGCTATGTCAGACAGTACACGTTCAGAGAGCTCAGGGAGATGGTCCGTCACCTTGCCTCCGCTCTGAGGATGAACGGGCTCCAGAAGGGCGATCGAGTTGCTGCCATCATTACAAACTCCATTGACGCGATCGTCATCGCGCTCGCTGCAGTGAGCATCGGTGCAATATTCTCCAGCACGGCTACGGATATGGGTGTCCAGGTGCGTCTGCATACCTTGGTATCTCGAGCTCTTACAGCTCACAGCGTTCCAGGGTATTCTTGACAGATACCGTCAAATACAACCCAAGTTTGTGTTCGCCGAGACGGAGGTGGTTTACGCTGGCAAGACGATCGATCTTATGCCCAGGGTCATAGAGGTTGTCCGTGACTTGCAGTCTCGCGGGCTCCAAGGCGTTGTCTTACTTCCAAGCACAAAGACTGGTGCAGAGCCGCAGATACCCACAGGCATTCCCAACTGGTGAGAAACAGACTGCTATCGCATATGATGTATATTGTGACGTATATGTGCAGCCGAACCCTTTCCTCCTTCCTGGCCGCCAGTGACGCTCGCCCTCTAACCTTCGAGCAACTCCCATTCGACCATCCGGTCTTCGTTCTATACTCTTCAGGTACAACGGGCGTCCCGAAGTGTATTGTACACTGCTCCGGAGTATGCTTTCCCCTCCATGGTGCGACAACTCGCTCATAACTTCCATATGTGCAGGGTCTGCTGCTTAACGGACTCAAGGAAGGAGCTTTCGCCTATAACATGGCTCTGGACGAATGCTACTTCCAATATACCACTGTCAGTCACTGTCTCAGCTTCTTTAATTCGGCTTCTGAGGGGTTTGCAGCCCGGCTGGATGATGTGGAACGCCATGCTAATCGCACTGGGACACGGAACGCGTCTCATTGCATACGACGGCTCGCCTTTCCATCCCAGTGCACAAGCTTTCTTAAAGTTCATCAGTGATCATGGGTGCGCGCTTCCTCTACCTGCACACTTAGGCAGCTGACGTTCTGCAGCGCGACCATCTGGGGCACCTCGCCTCGTTTCCTTATGGAGTTGCAAGCCACCGGTATCGAACCTCGTATGTCCGTTTTCCGCTGCCTATCACTTGCCAGACTGACCTGCTATGAAAAAAGTCAAGCTTGCCCCCTTCGAGTCCCTGCGTGTAGTCATGACTACCGGCTCCCCACTGACCCCGCCCATATTTGAGTGGACACAGGCCGCGTTTGGGGACGTTCACCTCTGTTCGGTCTCTGGCGGGACCGACATCTGTACCGGATGTGAGTGTGCTGTTACAGCGATCAGAACTCGAAGTCTGACGCAATAGCTAGTTGTAACTGCCGCGCCCTGCCTGCCGAGTTACGCCGGAGGCAAGTGCCACAGAAGTCTCTTATTCTTGTGTGACTTATCGTTCTGCCCGGAGCAGAAATACAATCCAAGTCCCTCGGCATGGCCGTCGAGATCTACGACCCTGACGGGAAGAACATCGAGGATATCGCCTTGCCTGGCGAACTTGTCTGCACGCGCCCGCACCCGTCGATGCCCGTCCATTTCTGGGCGGACAAGAATGACGAGAAGTATCGGAATGCATACTTCAACCGATACCCTGGTGCGTGCTGCACAGTCGACTCTGGGAAATGCCAAGGTGTCGATGTTTTGCGCGGTGGCAGGGGTCTGGCACCATGGTGACTTCATCGTCAAGAACCCGAAGACTCAGGGCTTCCTCATCTTGGGCCGCAGGTGCGCAACTGCTTATCCCCACTTTTATCTCTTTAACATCTCCTTGACTCAGTGACGGCGTCCTCAACCCGAGCGGCGTCCGCTTCGGCTCGGCCGAGATCTACTCCGTGCTGGATGTCTTCCGGGACGAGCTTGAGGATACACTGTGCATCGGACAGCGGCGGCCGGAGGACAAGGACGAGCGCGTGCTGCTGTTCGTGAAGATGCGCCCCGGGAGGCGGTTCAGCGAGGATCTCAAGAGGCGCATACGCGACACGATTCGCAAGGACCTCAGTCCGCGGCACGTGCCCTCGTACATATTTGAGATTCGCGATATTCCTGTGAGTGTGTAGGTCTTGGTGTGAGAGAGAAAGAGAGCTGATGACCATGCGGTACAGTATACGGTGAACAACAAGAAGATAGAGGTCGCGGTCAAGCAGATCGTCTCCGGGTCGAATTTGAAGCCCAGTGGGACGGTCGCGAATCCGGAATCGCTGGAGGAGTATTACAAGTTCAGGCACCTAGAGAAGCTGGTGGAGAGTGAAGGATCGAAGGCGAAAGCGAAGCTGTGATGCAGGAATCTGTTCCGGCTGTGCTATCCTTCCGTGCTTTACGTGTCAATCTTCTTGCGAATTATTCGCGCGTGGGAGCCACAGACATGAAGAGCCGCGGCCTGACATCCACGTCACGGACATCGTAGCCTATGAAGGACGCATGCACGAGATTGGCGAATGAGTTGTGTTCTGAGTCTCACTTGCGCAATGTTTGCCACTCTTGATGCTCTTAGTAAGCCTCGGACATGAGGTTGTTGTGTCACTAGTGAACTCTCGTGCTTCTTTCTGATCAAAGCGGTCTCCTGTGGCGAAGCCCGTACACTAACACTAGTGCAGTCAAGGCCGTTGAATGCATGTGGGAAGATGTACGTTGCAACTCTAGAACTCGACGATCACCCCCCTACTGCAGCCGTCTTGCCTCCAGGGCATCAGCCAGGAATGTCCACTCACTGCCATGAAGACACCCCTGCACTGACACCATGCCCTCCACCGCCACCATCGTACCAGCCGGCACAGCCATGCGAACCCCGAACCCATTCGCTCATTGTTGACGGGCGCGAATATCTAAAAGATTCCATCATCAATGCATCACTTCCTATCTTACTTCACAGAGGTCAAAAATGGTCAGCTTATGAACCCTGCGGGTGCGCGGCGTCACGCTCGAGGATCTTCGGGGGGAACAAAACCTTGACTCTTGTGATCTTTTGTCGGATGACCTAGTGAAGTGCGCAGATCTCGCAGCAGCTCTTGTTTGCTCTGGACAGCAAGTATGCTTGGCAGTTGTAGAGATTATTGACTTCGAGAAGAACGAAGACAAGACCGACTGGCTCTCCTCCATTCGGTACGACGAGCTTGAGGACTCAAAAAGCAATACAATGGTAGTGGCACAAATTTGGAGATGCTCCCTCAATGCTCGATCCACGCTGCTGCTGATCGTTGCTACCACTCACAGTCTCTCGATAGCTATGAAACGCCAGAATGTCAGTCCGAATTGGAGCCGAAGGACCTACAGTGGGAATGGACACGGAAATTCCTGCAGATATCCCAACTGGACGAGGGTCACGAGTCAATGACGGCCGTTCAACAATCTTCGCACCGAGATTATTCGCTTACCATCCCTGGATTTCTTGTCTACCCTTTAAGACCTTCGGTTGCGACGTTTCAGGAGGCAGCATCCAAGGGCGCAACACTTGCACCGCCAATTGAGGAGAAGTGGTCGAGTACATGGATCCTAGGTTCGTCGCAGCTCACAGAGGTTCTCGCACGCGCCTGGGATGCACTCTGCCCGGATAGCGAGGATATCCTTGTCAACATAGAGTATCTTCCAAGAATTCGCTCGCCCGGCCTGCCCTACAAGGATGCACAAGGTATATATCAACACCAGACCCAAATTGACAGTATAAACTCACCTCATACTCAATGGCACACAGGAAATACATGTTTCGCGGTCACGAATTTACCTGCGCATCTTACCGTGGAGAAGTTCTAGGACAAGCAAATCCTGTTATTTATGCCAGAGGAAGGTACAAATCTATAGAATGCGCGGTCATGTCGACCAGCATATCTTGTGGGCACGAAGAAGTATAGAAGACGTATCGTTGAAGACGGCCGTAAGTAAACTTAGTAGAGCGTTGCCCGCCGGAATAATGTCTAATTCCTGGTCGTGTACCTTTTAGATCGGTCTCGAGCCATGTGGGTTCTGTGGGCGCGACAGGACCTGCTTCACGCAACTTCGGCAAAAAGCAGGTCGCGGACAAGGCTACAATATCATATCAAATTGCTTGTACCACTATCAGAAGATGAACTATACCTCGGCGAAAAATGTTACCAAGACTAGCCCATGTACCAATGTGCCCATTCACTGCGTCATCTGCCCATCTCTTCCCAGTGGGCAGCCGGTAACAATTTGGAAGGACAACATGCTGTACCACCTTTCAGTTGAACATTCACAAGGGGATGCCTTACCTACGATACCGCCTCAAATGCTTGTCGACATGCACGTCTCGAGAGCGGAAGAGGGATTCATGGATGTCAATCAGGCCACTACTCATAAGTGGCAGGAGGAGAACGGAATTCCAGATAGTGATATCATAGAGGAGCACGAAGCTGCATTGACGAAACGAGACCATGCAGCGTCGACAGTGGTATAAGAGCCGCAGCGCAAGATGCCTCGTACACTGTAATCTTATCTTTTCTATCATCATAATCTTATCGCACTCTCCTCTTGGGGTCCTGGGCATGTACAGCTTAACGCTCGTGCAGGGCGGTGTGCCCGATGCAATCTCGCGCGCCGCTTGGTTCTTACCAGGAAAAAGTGTCAGGAGAGGGAATGACTCACGCCACTACTGTTAACCCACTCAGCGCCTCACAGGATGTACGCCCTACAAGGTCAGATCTATTCTCAACTTGAGTGGTGACAGCCATAAGTGTGACACTATACGAACATTGAAATTTGGAACACTGCAGGGCCAATGTCGAGTGGCTGTAACAACTATGGGTTTCGTCATCTGGCAATTGCATTCTAGCATGCACACAGTTGCTTTGTAGGCCCTTCCCTATGGTACCTCTTGCACATCACGACAGCCTGAGACCCATTATGGCAGCTGTATGGCATTCATCACCAAAGCATCTTTCAGCTGAGTGATACGAGCCACCGCATGTCCCCTGGAGCTTGTCAGACTTCCACATTTAGGAATTGTGAGTTGTTTCTTGGCATGGATCGTGGTACTGGCTCCCACCGTATTGCAATACTATGACTCCCAGTATGGAACCTTGCACACTTTCAAATTGCAGCCACACCATCGATGATAGATTGCACAGGCAAAATCTGATAGATTATATTCCCACTTTTTCAAGGCCATGAGTTGAGCTTTACGGCCATACAAGAACAACACCAACTCCTGTCAACTCCATTCCACTAAATTGCCAACAGAAGCTACCAGCAAAGGATTGGGGCTCAATAGGCAATGGAGCCTTTTCTGATGATTTCTTGATGCAGCTTGAAGTTTGCATACTACTTGCGTGTCTTCCCCCATACAAATGTCTCTGTCTTTGCGCAGAAGGTTCATGTCCCGGTGCTTTACTTGTCGACGTTTTCGGTAATAGAGCGCAATGATTGTCCAAGCTCATATAGATGAGGTCCGGGATGCAGCCAAACTGGCTGCTGTGCCACTCTTGTTGATCACACACCTGAAACTTCTCTTAGTAAGTCGCTGCTTTCCTGGTGTTTGATTTTGTTCACTCAGTTGGCCTTTGATCCTGGGTACCTAAGAACTGTTCAGTTGCAGCAGCAATAGGTTTGCACTGGCAGCACAGGCCTCGGCTCACCACTTCTCTCAGTTCCTTGATTTAGTGATGTATCTAAATCTTATATAATTGAAGCAATTGCATCCACCCATGGTTCAGTGAGGCCTCGAGCCCAGTCTTTCCCCGATGTCAGCTATGAGCTCCCCTTTCCCGGCAGTGAGCGACCAAAATTCCGCCTCGCTGGAGGTTGCTATCATTATTGAGGCATTTGCAGAGGCCATACGACCAGGCATAAATTTCGTCTTCATTGCCACAATATTCGTGTCTATGCTCATTTCCATTCTTATCACACTCTTCTGGTTCTCCACTTCTATGACACGTCGGCAGCCAATCTTCATTCTGAATGTGGCTTCCATATTGATAGGCATTGAGGTGGCAATATGGTCTACCTACAGTAACGTGAGCAGTGCTTCTTGCTCTTCAAGTGGCAGACGAAAAGCTTATAGCCCCGCAGCTTTTTGCAATCCTGAATCCGACCATTCAGGTCAATAGGACAGCAAATGCCACCTTTTCTGTCGTGTTCCAGCTAGCTCCATGAGTAGTTGAGCTGGTACTGGCTTTTTGGCTCACAGTGGTGTTTCTGCCTCACCGAACTCCATCGCTGAAGTTGGCTGCTATCTTTGCATTCCCTGTAATTATTAAATGTGTCCAATTGGGCTGCTTGATAGCCTTCTGGAAGATTTGGTTTCTCGAGGCAGAGCAGAGCTCAACTGCACTGACAGCTGCGGAAGATGTTAACTTTCGAAACATTCCTTTCACCAAGGCAGATTTTCTTTTGCAAATCTTTGACAATGCGTGAGCATCTCTAATATAACCTGCTGGTCTTATCTCATATCTATATAGTTATCTATCAACTATCTTTATCTGGAAGTTGCACAGTGGGCACATTTTTTGGAGACAAGATGATTGGCAGGTCAGTTTTGGTGGTGGTGGTATAACTCCATCTAAACCTGCATGCATGTTTTGCTGATGTTTGTATGGAAGGCTCTCTGACTTCCAGATTGAAGACATTGTTCTGGATAGCAACTGGGAACTTTGTCTTCCCCCGTAAGCACAATTTTCTCAATATACTAGGTCAACAGTTTCTGACAAGAAAATAAAGCCATGTTCAACATTGCAGTTGTAATTGATGTCTTTGTGGATCCCCAATATGTTCTTCATGTGGCCAACCTTCTTATCACAAACTATTATCTATCCATTATTGGCATTGTCTTTGCCACTGGTAAGCAGCTCAGGCTTTCCTATGCATCAATGCAACAATATTGACACATCTTAGTCTGGAGTACAAGTACATCTGTCAAGAAGAGCCAGCCTGATGTACCAAACTGGCAGCTTTAACAGCTGTTAGAAACAGACTCTGCCTCCACAAACCCCTCTAATGCAGGTCGTGCTGAGCCTAAAGATGTCAATGAGGGTTTGTTTGAGCATGCTGTAAACAAACTACAGGCCTGGCTGGATATTGAGAGGGCAAATTCTCAGACGGACACAATCCCACTGATGGTACTTGTTCAGACAGATTGGCTACAGCAGTGAAAACGGCCTCCCTGTCACGGTAACTTGAACCCTGAACGCTGGAAGAAGCTTCTGATGATGATAGCTCTCTTTCTTATTGTTGTTTATGGACTTTCTTTTTTTTGTCATGTCTTATTTTGCCCCCCTTTGTCACCAGCTCCTTAGCAGCCAGCTAAGTTAGCTTATGCCGCTACAACAAAGCCTGTTCCCATTCTATCTCATGTGATGCTGAGTAGTTTTGTCATATACATTGGTTTCTACTAGACTCGAAATTCAAGCCAAGAGAGCTTATTCTGGACTCTGCCGCATACTCCACTGAGTGCTTTACGCTTGTATCCAGACAGGTTGACACTAGTAGACGATCTGTTCTGAGCACAAGTACTACACTGAGCTGTGGTCAAGATACAAGAGTGAGGTGTTCATTTCCACCAATGACAACACCCTGTCTGAGCTGTCGTTCACATCATGTGCGATCTTGATGATGCTCCACAGACACAACAACTTGAAGGTCATGGCTCTCTCCACAGGGAAACACAAAAGACCATTGACAGTCTCGGGAGCACATTGATGGTATTAAGAGCACATGGCCGCCATGGTCGCCAGCCTTCGACCACTACCAAGCTGTGCCCGCAATTGCACAGTGCTGGTTCTAGCTTGCAAAGTCTACAAGTGGCGTCAGACTCAAGAATCTCTGTAATTCGTTCATTGAGCACATGCCCACCGGCTTTCCTGAACCATGCTCACGATATCAACAACACAGAACATGAAGTGGTATTGCCGCGCACTGTACGCGCCTCCAATGGCTTCGGCCGCCACTGCCTGGAGGTTGTCTGCGAGGTCGTTGTCAGCAGAACGGGCCTTCTGAGCCACGTTGAGCTTGGATGACGATATCAGATTATGAACCAGTAGGAAAGATGAGGGAATGCACTTGCAAATGTCCAGTGTAAGGATTTGGGTTGACAAAAGTGCACTACCAATGATCAACCCCGGTGCTGAAGCCACTAAGCTGCAGCTTTTTGAGGCCCTTGCCGAGGAAGATCTCAGTCAAGATGTTCTCAGCCTGTTTAATGGCCTTTTGTGCTGCCACTGGGCAACTCATCAGTAGCTGCACCAGATTGAAGAATAAAATGACACACGTGGTACAGTGGGCTAGACTTGGCAAAAGCGTGGTTAGCCTCACTGCACTCGAGAATGTCTGAGTCACCGCTCTTCGCTACAATGGGCTACGCTCGATGTCAGCGCAACACAGGCACAAGGGGAGGGCGGATGCACCTTGAAGGGGTTCACAGCCCAAGCCAGTCTACCCCGCTGCAGACTCAAGAACCTACTAATACAGTCTCAGGAGGTCGCTGCCATGGAGTGTCTGCTACTGAATACGAGGAGCTACATCAGTATATGCCTGTCTTGCTTGAGAATCATGGCAAAAAACACACGTCAAGGCGCAGCGCATTGTCAAGAAGCGAAGCCTGCGCTGATTGCATGTGCAAGCACGGACCCATAACAATCGCTTGGGTCGGGGCAGCGCACAAATTAAATGAGAGGGAAAAGATGCACTTGAACAGCTGCGCATCATGGAAGATCTCCTCATCCTACTGCGCCTGCTTCGCTCTGTCCGATGGCAACAGTATCATTCATCACCCGCGTCTGTTGATTGTCAGCAGCATGCTCACGATGTGCCGCAACCCTGATATGAGCCACACAGCAAGCCAAACAGAGCAGAAGAGGATGCACTACTATGGTTCTTACTGACTAGAACCAGCGACACGCTTGCCGCTGGTGGGATAAACCCGAGACAATCCTCTCTGAACATGTCATTCCATAGCAGCCTGCATCTTGTCACTCTATTGCGCATGAGGTCCTGCTTGGTCTGGTTTATGATTGTAAGACCTGTAAGGTCGTAGACTTGGAGATAACCCTGCAAGAGCCAGACCGTGTTGTATTTGCGAAGAGTAGCTACAATAGTGGGGTAAAAGTAAAGTCTGGGGCTGAAACCAAGGGGCATCCCGACCTTATATCAGGCCAGGATGCTACCCAATAACAAATACATGAGCGAGCATAAGGAGGACGTGTTTTTGATTGATGAGAGCACCAAGTTACAAAAAAGGAAGGTGTCTATGGTAAATGGGCGCTAAGTCGTGCGCCTTACAGTGATGTACAGCGGTAATAGGTCAAAAAAAGACATTGTGCTGTTGGTTGCTAAATTGTCAGCGTGGTGAGGAAGAGACTGTGTGTAATGAGCAACACGAACATGAACGTCAGTGAGTCGAGCAAGGCACAAACTGCGTAAGAATGTCAGGGTCAACTACATGGGTGGGGTGGGGAAGAAATACTTTACCTTAAGAGTGGTCTGACCAGTTTTAGCATTGCCTTCAAGGTATATACTAGCACAAGACAAATATATACAGTTAAAATGTCATAGGATACTCTACAGTCATATAAGCGCGATGAGGTACCCATGAATTCTACTCTGGAAACTCTACACTAGAGCTGGGACAATCGTCACTGTTACGGCTGCCCCATCTGGGCGAGTACTGTTGATGGAATTGTTGCACCTTGCAAATCTGATCTCTTGATGTCTGACTGATTTGGGCTTGTGTTTTGTCCGGCACAGGCTAGAATGGTTATCATTTGGTAATCACAAGGCCAATAAGATCATCATTGGAAAGTAAACGCTATCAAGTTAACGAAATAAACTTGTCCTTCTTCACCACCGTGCTTATACTCTGACTGGATGCAAGGTCAATTAATATTTTAACCTGCATTGACTGTGTAAGATTAACACTGCTTACGAGTTGCAAAGACAGCACCAATGATTGACAGGTAGTAGTTTGTGATGAAAAGATTGCCCGTATGAGCCATGTATTGAGGGTCCACAAAGATGACGTTTATGACCGCAATATTGAAAATACCTTCAACGTCCTGTTAGCAACCTGCGACCTGTATAAGCTGGAGACTTGAACTTACCAGGGAAAAAATTTCAACTGCCATCCAAAACAATGTTCTGAGTCGTGATGTCAGAGAGCCTATAATTTAAGGCTTCAGTAGTTATTCACATGTGGGGAAATAAATCCAGAGCCGTACCTCTGGCACCAAAAGTGACTCGTTGGCCATCCCATCCTTGGAAGACGTGTGTGCTGTACAACTTCCAGATGAAAATTGTCAATAGATAGCTATACAGGGTGGGATCAGCCATGTGACTCAGGAGGCGATAGACGAAGACTCACGCATTGTCAAAGAGTTGCAGTAAGCATGTTGCTCTGATGTACAGAAACTGCTGCCAGCCAATGTTCACTGTTTCCATCAGCACACCTGAGCATTGGGCCACCTCACAAAGGAAGAACCTCTGGAATATTACTCATCTAGACTGCGAGACTAATGATCTCAAAAAGCTTAAGCATGCAAGAATTTGAGTGACTGAAGAGCAGGTTCTCCCACTTAAAATGCTGTAGTCACCGAAGGTCACCACTCCAATGCCTATTAAGATAGAGGCTACATTCAATATAAATATGTGCTGCCTGCAAGTCACAGAAGTGGAGAACCATAGGAACGTGATGAGGATAAGAATGAGCATGGATGTAAATATTACAATAATAAGGACATAGCTTATGACCAACTGTATAGCTTCTGCAAAAGTCTTGATAATATTAATGACAGCGGTCTCTGGCTGAATGGAGTTTGGACTGATCGTCATGAGGGGAGGAGAGTCTGTGAGTGCCATGAGAGAAAAGAATGGCCATAGATCTGCTGTAATCAGATATGGTCGCCGTACTTATGTAAAGGCCTGACACATTTGTCTCAGAACAGACAGCTAATATACTCTTGGGGTTAAGGCCTACTGTGTGCTGCTAATGTGATCGTAGGGCATTGGCCCTCAGATACCTAGTGCAAGTATCAATCGAATACATAGGATAACCACAATACATCATCAACGCACTAGGGGAATGGTCATGTGTTTGATCAGCATGAAAACTATGCTGCCAAGCAGCTACATCCCAATCTGCGCGAGATGTGGATAACTGAGATATTGCTAATGAGGAGATTGACAAGCAAAGCACTGGGCCACGAATCTTCTGCAATATGCTAGAAATATTTGCACAAAGGAAGGCAGGTGTGAATCATGAAAAATCTGGGTGTCAAATGTCATTAGATACATATAGGCCACGTCAGTCACTGCACCACAACCCTCCTGTGCATGGCTGTTCTCAAGGTTGTCGTGAGCTATCCATCAGCAATGGGTGCAGGTGATAATATCTCAAAAGCGTACAGGCTTTGGGCCAATCACTGCGTGCCAAACTAAAGCGGAACTTGTCTGTTGGCGTAAGAGGTGTAAATATTGCAGAAACTTCACAGTGGGCATTTTACATTTGCCTGCGGGTCATGCAAGATTTGGAAGTTGATAGCCTGCCTAGATGAATGCTGGCCGTTTGTCAGAAACATTTGAGCCAAAGGATAGACATAGCATAAGCTATGGTAGTGTACATGAAGGTGTTGTCATCATCCTTTCCTTTAATCTGTGTCAATCCGGCACTTCTCAGATGTTTGAAGCGTTCCCAAGGATCTAGACGCCAGATCATGTTGAGGTGCCTGGCTGTGGACACAGCTTCGCCTTTTGGCCTTTTTTTAGCCCTAAAATTATAGATTCATATGCATTCAAACCATATAATTTTAAATTACATTTTTGAGCCAATAATAGAGGCATTTTCCGGATGTTTTCGCATTTTCTGTCATTTGCCAAGGAAAAACAGGCGAATTGATGCCTGATGGACGCCTCAGCAAAAAGCGGATATCTCGATAACCTTGACACAACTTATTGCCTGTCGAGACAC